CGCGTCCAGACTGCCCCGATCTGCCGACAAACAGCTGATCGGCAGAGCGGGGCAGCCATTTAAATTTAAATGAAGCCGCGATTATTTTAATTGCGGCTTCATTTCCCTCTGCCGATCTGGCTAATCTATAGCATGTAGTTTAGATGTACCCTTGGTGTTCACACCTCCACATCAGCTGCTAGAAGTGGGCCTCACGCTCCTTGACTGAACTTTCTTCATTATCTCTAGCGTTATTCTGGCCTGCATATTTATACCTGCCTGGAAATTTCCACTATGTGCATCTGACAAAGTGGGTCTTTGCCCATGAAAGCTTATGCTCCAATACATCTGTGAGTCTATAAGGTCCCACAGGACTCCTTGTGGCTTCAATAGTGTAATTACTCCTAAAAGCAACAGCGTGATCATGCTGAACCCCAAGGATCCTTCTGGTCACTTTCTGTCTTGACATCGGATACAATCACCAGGGCTATGTCTACACTCGGGGCTTCTTGCGTCAGAAGTATGCAAATGAGGCTAAGCGTGGAATATTGCCGAGCCTCATTTGCATACCTAATGAGCCGCCATTTTTGCAGAAGAGGCTCTTGCGCCAGAAGGAGCATCTACACGGGTCTTTTTTTGTTCAAGAAAAACCCTCTTCTTCAATGCCGTTATTCCTGAAAATAATCTGCGCAACAGCATTACGCAAGAGGGGTTTTCTTGTGCAAGAAGGGGCAGTGCAGACAGCTTCTCCGGGCGCAAGAGCCTCTTCTGCAAAAATGGCAGCTCATTAGGCATGCAAATGAGGATCGGCGATATTCCATGCTTAGCCTCGTTTGCTTATTTCTGACGCAAGAAGCCGCCGGTGAAAACATAGCCCCAGGTGAGTTAAATGCGAGGGGGACGAACTGACGAGACGCAAGACGCCCCATCTTTTATAGGTCTTTTCTTTCTCTCAGGTCTATGCGTTTTGCTGCATCAGCGCTTCCATCAATCACTGTTTTAACAGCTGTTTATCTGGAAGTCATTCTTCTTTGCTAGCTGAGTCGGTATGTTGGTGCCTCCTTCCCAGGGTTATTTCAAGGCTGGATTCTTTGTAAAAGGGCGCTCATATGTCCTCCCTCAGTCTGCTTTATATTGGGCCCAATTGATGGGAGTTTTGCACCTCGGAGTTTTACAGCTTCTTCTCCAAACACTCACATTTCAAACTCATTCCCTCCCCAGGAACTACACAATCATTTCACACATAGGGAAAAGGGCTACCATTGTCCCTACAAAAAGGTATCGATCTATTTCAGTACAAAGGTTCAAGTAGTACAAACTTTTAATCGTTCATATTTTCTTGTATAACACACTCAATAGTCTAGACTGTGAATGGCTAGCCAAGCAGATAAGCAGTTTCTTGGGGTGTGTCTAGACTACATGCCTCCGTCGACGGAGGCATGTAGATTAGCCAGATCGGCAAAGGGAAATGAAGCCGCGATTATTTTAATCACAGCTTCATTTAAATTTAAATGGCTGCCCCGCTCTGCCGATCAGCTGGTTGTCGGCAGATCCAGCCCCCCCCCCCCCCCCCCCGTTTAATCCCAGAGGGTGTTGGTTTGGCAGAGGATGCTGAGCAATAGGACTGGGGGATAGTGTAACCCACACCTGTAGTATGGGGCACTGTTCCATGGAGTGACACTTAGACCAGTTACAGGGAGCAAGATGAATAAGAGAGCTCTACAGTCTAGCTAAGAGCCAGCTGGCTTTATAGCTCCCAGCGGGGGCTGAACCCCACTCAGGGCAGCTGTCGTCCGGAGGAATCTCCTGCCATGAAACCCCGCAGGCCTGGGTGAAGAAGCACCATTCAATGGAGCGTCTTCACTATTTCCTCCTGATCCTCCAGTGCCGGGCAGGAGCGGAGATCCGTCCGCCAGGGCACGGACCAGGGAAGGATCAAGGCTGGAGTGAGCGAGTGGCTAAGCAGGGTGGGTCAGAAAGGGGAGTGAGCCCCAGGGTTAGAGGGTCCAGGTTCAAATCCACCCACTAGTAGTTGCAATAGCACCTCACTCAGATGTCTGGGGCAGCTCCCCCAGCCAGAGAGATGGGTTTGGGCTGGCTGCAGACTCAGGCAGTGGCTTGCTAGAGGTCCCTGGTTCAAATCCACCTGCTGTCAGTTGCAGGAGCACCCCCACTCAGAGGAAGATGCTCAGGCAGTGGTGCTGCATCCCTTGGAAAAAGGCAGAGATTACAAAATAAAGCAGGGACGTGGGATGATAAAAGTGACCATAGGAAGTCTGAGACTTTTCTGGCCTCCCCATCAGGCTAGACAGCTTCCCCTGAGCTCATTTTCCAGTGGCCCAGGCTGGTCCTTCCTGGCAGAGTAAAATGCCTAAAACATAATGCTGCACACACCACCTATTGCCATTAAACTAACATTCGTGTTACATGGTTCCTGCCTTTTTTTATGTCCCGTGTTTCTTATCCGACATGCCTGGATGTAATCCAGTCGCTCTGCGCACACGGGTCGCTGTGCATGGGCTAGAGGCTGAGTTTGGATTTTTTTTATATTTTAAGATGCCCTCCCCTGGCCCCCTGGCCCTTGGCGTGGGCCTGTCACGCTTTCTCCTCGGTGCGCCCTGGCCTGAGCACGTCACCGGCCCAGAGCAAGCAGAGGGATTTGCCCCAGGCCCCAAGCTAGCAGCCAAGTGTGCACTGCCCGGTCCTGGCTCTCCGAAGGCAGGCCAAGACGGCACCCAGGAATTCGGCTCCAGGGCGACTCACTCTTGACGAGGGACAACATTTTATTAGACAAATAAACCCCCTAAGAAAGTAGCAGGGACTTCACCCCACTCAGGGTAACCATCATTTGGAGTGATCTCCAGCCGGGAAACTCCAGGGCCTTTGGCAAAGCTGCTCCATTCTGCCTGCACCCTCCATCCCGCTGCATCTTCACCCTTTCCCCAGCGTCCTCCCGGGCTGGGCAGGAACCCGGGACAACATTTTATTAGACAAATAAACCCCCTAAGAAAGTAGCAGGGACTTCACCCCACTCAGGGTAACCATCATTTGGAGTGATCTCCAGCCGGGAAACTCCAGGGCCTTTGGCAAAGCTGCTCCATTCTGCCTGCACCCTCCATCCCGCTGCATCTTCACCCTTTCCCCAGCGTCCTCCCGGGCTGGGCAGGAACCCGGCTCCAGGCACGATCCAGGAGACTTGCCAAGCGAGATGGTAGCTTAGACTAGCTCCTGCGAGTGTTTCGAGGCTGGGGGGTGAGCTGGCTGTGCTTTGCAGTGCGGCGTGTTCCCGGATGGGATGGGGTTTCTCCACTCTCCCTGCTGCCTGCTCAGCCCTGGAACAAAAATCCCGAGGGATAGATGGAGTAGCGGGAAAGAGAGAGAGAGAGAGTCCTGGCTCCCGCACCCCTGCCCACTGGCACTCAGCTACCCCGGAGAGGGAGAGAGAAAGGGGAGTGAGGGGCAGGGGAATTGAGAGGGAGGGTGGCTTTATATCACAGCACAGGGCTGGTCCTCTGGGGAACTAGGGTCAAGTCCAATGTTCCCTCTAATCTTTCCTATCCATGTGTGGATTTTTTCCACCCATGTGCAGAATAAATTTGTATGAGGCATGTGCAGATGTGCACCACCCACAGACACAAAGAACCTACCCGTGGGTGTTCTGCTAAGCAGCTGGGCAGCATTGGAATCTCTCTCAAGCAGACACACAAGCACCCAGCTTACAGGGAATGTTGGTCAGCACCCTCGCTTTGCCTGGCTTGGCTGCTCTCCGAGCCGGGCAGGACTAGGAGTCCGTGCCTGGGACAGCTGAACTCTGTAAGTGCTGCTGTGCGAGGGTAGGGGCTCTCGTGCCCACCCAGGCAGTGGCTGGAGGCAGGAGCTGTCTTGGGTGGAGGTGCCCTCGCTAGGACCATGGGGTGAGCTAGCCGGAAGATGGGGAACTGGACAGACTCCATATCCAGGCTCTGCCATACCTGTCCACACCTGTTCCTCTCACAGGAGCAGGATCTCAGTGAGGGACAGAGCCAGTAGGCTCAGGTAGCCGGTCACGACGGGGATCCAGAGGCTGCTTCCCCCAGAGCTCTGATTCTTCGGGCTTTGGGACAGCTGCTGCTCCAGCTGCCAGACCTCAGCTTTGAGTTTATCTCTGGGAGAACAAGGGAAGGGCATGGGAGCAGAGCACTCTTGTGGAGAAATCCCTGTAATATTATCGCTCTCATATAACTTTGTATTAAGATCTTGTCCTTTTAGATCTATCTTTACGTGTTCGTATAGAATCTCTGGAACATTTCTCCTAGAACTTTGTATTAAGAGAAACTTTCCTTGTAAGCAAAAAAATGTCTTTTGAGCTCTCCCCTTTCCTTGATTGTCCTGTTGAAATGAATGAGGTGTGAATGGAGAATGAAAGGGGAGCACCTCCAGCAGCAGTTGCCAGGGTGGAGAAGGTCTGGGAGCCAGATCGAAGACAATACCTGTAAAGTGAGCTCATTAAGAAGACTGGACATACAGAGGCCTTGGGAGTCAAGCAGCAAGTGCCTGCCCTTGGAAGAACTCTCTTTGAAGTGATAGAAATGTAGCCCTGTTAGTCTGGTGTAGCTGAAACAAAACACAGGACTATGTAGCACTTGAAAGACTAACAAGATGGTTTATTAGATGTTGAGCTTTCCTGGGCCAGACCCACTGCCTCAGATCAAATAGTGGAAGAAAATAGTCACAACCATATATACCAAAGGATATAATTTAAAAAAAATGAACACATATGAAAAGGACAAATCAAATTTCAGAACAGAAGGGGGATGAGGGGGGAGGGGAGGGAGGTAAATGTCTGTGAGCTAATGATATTAGAGGTCATAATTGGGGAAGCTATCTTTGTAATGGGTAAGATAGCTAGAGTCTTTGTTAAGACCCCGGCGTAAAGTGTCTCTTTAAAGTAGCATTAAGAAAGGCGAGGTGATGACTAATTGGCTGCATGAGAGGGATAAATAGGAGACATCTTGCAGAGGGACCCCGGGTTTTTGTCTTGCCAACATGGGAGCATCGATCCAGATCAGGAGAAACCCAGCTCCACCCCTTCCCCATCTAACTCACCTGGCCAGTGCAGTTAGGGGGAGCAACTTTTGGTACAAGATGGAGTGTGCTTGTGTGTGTGAGAGAGTGCATGAGTGTCATGTGTCTTATGCATATGATAGATATTGATTGATCTATGTATGTTCAATAAATGTGGCGTGTTGCTTTATCCCCTTGAAAAAGATCCCGGGTGCTTCTTAAGCACATTTTGATGGAGAATCGCGAAAGGGGGAAAGGTACCACGAGCATTTATTGAGTAATGGAAAGGTGTTAAGAAGTATGGAAAAGTGATCATAACCTCGAAAAGTATTAAAAAGTGATCGATCATTAAGGGGTGCACACCCCCGGTGGTAGAAGGCCAGGTAAAGAGAGGAGGAGAAGTAGCTTTCTCGCTCCCCTGGTTGTAGAGTGCCGGCATTAGAAAGAAGGGAGGAGAATTAAATGTCTCGCTCAAGGAAAAAGAGACATTGGTAGATAAGAGTAAAAAGTATAAGCATTGCTATTTTAGTCCCCATAGGAGGATGGATATACTAGAAAATGTTTAAACATAAGCAGTCATTTACGAAGGCTCCCAGAGAGGAGACTGAGAAATTGGCATTTAAAGATGTTACCCCTTTTTGAACAAATATTGCAAAAATTCAGACACAGCCCGTGGTCTGATCAAGTGTTAGCTAATGTCCATACAATTGCAGACCTAGAAGACAAATTGGCTAACTACTTATGGATATATAAACCCTCAACTCCAATGGAAAAGGAAGCAGCTGCGGTTTGGCTTCTATGGAAAACCTGTAATGAGGGGAAGCAAAATACAGGACTATGTAGCACTTTAAAGACTAACAAGATGATTTATTAGATGATGAGCTTTCGTGGGCCAGACCCACTTTTGATCTGAGGAAGTGGGTCTGGCCCACGAAAGCTCATCATCTAATAAACCATCTTGTCCTGTATTTTGCTTCAGCTACACCAGACTAACACGGCTACATTTCTATTACTATTCTGTAATGAGGTGTTCCTCCAATTGACTGAATATAAGTATGCAAATCCCACGAAAGCTCATCATCTAATAAACCATCTTGTAGCACTTTAAATTCCTACATAGTCCTGTATTTTGCTTCAGCTACACCAGACTAACACGGCCACATTTCTATTACTATTCTGTAATGAGGTGTTCCTCCAATTGACTGAATATAAGTATGCAAATATGAAACTGCAAAATGTAAAAGCCTCTGCTGCAGAAGTGGAGAGGTAGAAATGCATGTCCCTCAGTACCCAGACATAGCTAGAGTCTCTTAAGGATGGGTACTGAGAGTTAAAGCAACTCTCAGATTTTTCAGGAATATGCTTAAGAAAAAGGACCAGGAGGTGTGGGGCTTAGTGAACAAGGCTACCCTTCTTGCTAAACCGGTAATGGGACAAAGCCTGAATCTGTGGAAAGGAGCCACTTTCCATTTAGCAAGAAAAACAGGATCAGGCCCAGACAAGCAGGCAGGTAAAAGATAGATTGAAGGCCTTGTGGTAGAACTGAGAAAAAGCAGTAAGTGCAGGTACTGGAAATCTAAATCCTTAAAACAATACTTACAAGAGTAATATCTGAAACAAGGCCAGTTTTCATTGTAAGAGATAAGAAAGTGTTTTAAGAAAAAAAAAACCCACAGAGAATTTAACTCTACAGAGAATGGAGGGAATTGAGCAGTTGTGAAAATGCTAAAATGGTATAGGAAAAAATTGTGGTTTCTTTGCAGCCATTTTGAAGGAAAAATGGGCCCTTTTCCAAAAGAATGTCTGTAAATAATCCAGGCAAATTTGACTCGGATCCATACATTTGATTATAGATGATGCTAAAAGAACTTGAAGGGGGTTTCTATTGGAACTTAACTACCGCAATGAATAAAAGAGAATGTAATCATTGCACAGCTATGTAGAAATCGTGTAAGAAAGGTTCAGAGAGAATGTATGTGTATCTGTGTGTAAATATATATATATATATATAGGGTAAATAAGTGGGGTTTTCAAGGTCCAGTAATCTTGTTTTGGAGACTGATCTTTCCTGCTCACCCGAGAGGGGTGTCCGACGGAGTCAGAGTTTTACATTACACAAAACATTACCTGCAGTCCGAAGCCTAGCCCCTTGCCTCAAGAGCAAACTCTGAGATGGTGTGGAGGGGCAGCAGCAGGGTTTTTGTGGGCAGCCTTTTGTCTGGCTGCTGGGGAGATCAGGTTGGTCTGGCTCATAGAAAACGTCCTTCCACTTCTTTCACAAGCTTTGCCAAAGTGTTTTCCGAAGGGTTTCCCTTTTTAATAGGTAACTAGCACATTTCCCAGCCTTGCTCGGGTCCTTGAGGGGCTCAGGGCAGAGTGCTGGGTGTGTGTGTGCGGGGGGAGGACACAGGAGTCAGGGTGGGGTGGCAAGGAGGGATTCTGGATAGGGGACTGGGTGTGTAGGAGGGCAGGAGGGGGCGGTAGAGCCCCCGCACCCCCAAGATTCATACCAGCCTTGCTTGCTCTTCCCCAGGGAGTGAGAGCAAAGTGCATAGTTCATTTGCCCCTGCAGATGAGGAATGCAGGGTGAGTGCAGCTTGAGTGAGGAATGCAGCAAACTGGGCACTTTCCCCTTGCTCCCTGATGAAGGAGACCAGCCAACAGGATTTAAAAGTAAAATCTCAAAGCTCTAAATCTCTGGCAAAAGTGATTGTGTCTCTTTTTAAGACAAAGCTACAGCCAGCTTTGAATCTAAAAGCAAGCCAGAAAGTGTTCTGCGGTGCAGATGCCCTAGCTGGCAGCACAAAGAAGCTTTGCAGGGAATAGCAAGTTTGATCAGCAAACTACCTGAGGTCAGAAAGTTCAAATTGTAGCCTTCCAGAAAGGTGGGGAAAAGGAGTCAAACCTCCTGCTCCTGCTGCATGGGAGCAGCCCTGCAACACACCCCCCAGGCCGCAGGCAGGGTGTCGGGGACGGATGAGGGATATGGAGAGCCAGGGACCCCGTGGGACACGGACGAACTCGGCTCACCTCTGCTGCTGAGCCTCGAGGAGCTGCTGTCGGAGCATGTCAGTTTCACCTGGAAAGCAACAGACCGTCCAGGGCCAGCCAGAATCAGCAAGCTTCTACCCTAGCGTGCGCCCCCTCCCAGCAAGCTCATCTCGCCACACCCCAGGCCTCGTGGGGGACCGCCGCCTGCTTGGCACCCCCTGCCGCTATCAGACAGGCCAAGTGACTATGCCAGTGGGGCTGGAGTCCGAGGAGAGATTTGGGGGCTGCCTGTTCACCTCCCGCAGCCCTTTCTCCACAGGAAGACTTTGGCCCCCCTGCGCTTGCTGATGGTTATAAATGTATTGGATCATAGCGGCACCTGGGAGCCAGGCATGAGGGCTCCCTACCCCACAGCGGTACCGATCTCATGAGCCAATCATGACCCCTCGCCGGGCACCAGAAAACCACCCAACAAGCATGATCCAAACTCCTATTACTCAGATCCGGCCGAGGGTAGTGGGCCTAGCATACGGGCCCAGTTCTATGTCCCTGGCCCAGCTATGTGCATCCCTCCTACCCCCAAAGGCATTTCCTGTCTTAGAGGGGCTCTTTCCTAAGCCACCCAAGGGGGCTGGTGGCAATTAGCCAGGAGCGATTGGGAGCAGTCGTCTCACCTTGTCCCCCTCCGGTCTCTCTGCCTCCCAGCCGGGTGATTTCCTCCTGCAGGGCTGTGATGTTGCTTTGCAGGACACCCTGAGCCAGAAAACACAAGGGAGAAGGATCAGATGCCGGCAGGGAAGCCCTCGGGCTGGGCAGCTGCCTCTGGGGCAGAAGGGAACAGCCCTGAAAAAACCCATCCTTCCGGCCTAAGTGAAGGGCCCATATAGACAGTTATCTGATCAGTTCTTATTCATTCCTAGCTCAAGGTTTCTCTTTTCCCTTCTCTCTCCCGGGTGCTGGGGAACTGGACCGGCCTGTGGAGGGAACATGGGGGACGAGACCCGCTGGCCCTGCAGGCAGCGTTCCCTGTAAGCTGGATGCTTGGAGAGATCCAAATCCACTCGGCCCATTAGTAGAGTGCCCACTGCCGGCAGCGTGTCTTGCTAGTGGTGGTGCACCTCTGCACCTGCCTTGGTGCACGTAACAAAATTGATTCCATACACAGATGGAAAAAATGAGAAGGAGACTGCCTTTAGGACATGTGAGTCTCTGCTCCGGATCTCTGGGACTGCGGGGGTCGATGACAGGAGACAACCGGATCTGATGCTCAGGAACAAACAGGAAGGGAGACTGGGGAACAGGCAAACATGGACTGACGGGATCGCACAGCTGTAACCTAAAAGGGAGCCTCATCCGCACGCCTGCTCAACCCCTGTCTCTTCACTTACTCTTGGTCCCCTCCGTCCCACCCCCGGCCTCTCTCCTTCCCCTGCTTCTCCCAGTTCAGACCTAGACTCAGTTTCTCTCTGTCTCTGGCAGGCTCCATGCTGCCAGCTGGTGCCCCTCTCTGCCCCTCCAGCTGTCACCTGCCCTCCTCCCCACAGTGCATTCCCCTGCGCACCCCCTCGCAGCTCCCCTGGCGGGGGAGGGGGAGCAGGCGTGCAGGGAACAGGACATTGAACCCGTCGGGTAACAAAAAGCCGCCAGGGACCCAGGTGGCACCCAGGGCTGCATCGGGGAGCACGCACACAGCCCCGGGTCCAGCAAACTCCAGGGGGGACAAATAAGAGGGGATGCCCATGTGGGGAGCCGGGGGTTGTGGGGAGGGACCCTGGAGCAAGCTCCCACCCAGACAAACCACTGAGGGGCCGGGTCCTGGCTCTGGAACAGTTTCTGGGCGCCCAGCCCCCTGACACCGGACCGGCGCTCCTGGGCGCCCCCCTCCCCCCGTATCAAACAGCAGCCCCCACCGTCAGGCTCCCGCAGGACTCCCAGCGCGCACGCATCTCCCAGAGGCTCTGGTTGGCCCCCGCCAGCTCTGCCCTCGCCCCGGCCTGCTGCTCTTCCAGCGTCCCCTTCTCTTCCTCCAGCGCGGTGAGTTTCCCCGTCAGCGCGGCGGTGCCATTAGCCAGCTGGTCCTGGCACTGCCGCAGATGGGTCGGGGCCGAGGAGATATAGACCAGGCAGGCGATCAGAGCAACCGCGGCCAAGAAGAAGGCAACTGTCATGAAGGCACAGCCCGTCCTCCAGCCCCCCATGCTGCTCGTCTCCGGGGACACCGGGCTGCGCGTCCCGGGGGGTCCGGTGTAGCGAGCAAAACACGAACTTCTCAGAATTTGCTACTTTGGGTGCACTGAGCATGCGCACCCGAACTGAGCTGTGACCGTCACAAAAACGGAGCGGTTTCACTTTTTGCCTATACACCGGCCAGAGCTGTCTCCTGACGGGGGCGGCTCAGCTGGGGCAGAGGAGGACCTGGGGGGAGCGGGTCCCAGCAGCCCCAGATCTCCCCTCCCACCAGCACCTTGCTGCCAAGGGCTGCCTCTGGTCAGTTTCTTTTCTCACACCCAGAGACAGAACAGCTGGATTTCACTTCTGGGAAGAGGCTGCTGCATCCGGCGGCCAGGCCAAGCTGGAGGGGAGGGAGTCAGAGAAAGGGGGAGACGGGCCCCGGGGGAGGGGAAAGGGGCGGATTTACCTGCAGCTCGGACTTTTTTTGGCATGTTCTTGTTAGTTCAGAGAAATGTTTTTAGACCCCTCTCCCCACACAATCAATAACCCCAGTTCCTTCCCTCTGCGCTGCTGAGCACCCCCCGCCACCAC